TCTGTTGGGACATCTGGGAGTGTCAGGGAATAAGCAGATTTCTCTTTGTAGCCTCAACAGAGAAAATTACACCTCTTATGTCTGCACATTGGTCCTGCTGCTGAAAGAAGAGGCATCCTGCCCTACCTGGAGCCTACTTGCTCCTCTAGTCCTCTGAATACTGCCTGCCCATCTTTCAAAACAGAAGGTAGGTAATTAATGTGAGCCAATTCTGATAGCAATATTAATACACATGTATGATTGTAGTATAAAACAGTATACACTGATACTTTTTGTCTCTTTTCCAACTTGGATACACACTGTAGCCCCACCTGTTTCATGGTTTCACACAAAGGAGACTTCTATTGTCCTTCTTATTTAATTTCAGTGAGGGCTGATCCAATGTAACATGCAGGAGGAGGGTGAGGATACAGAGTATTTCTCAGTAAGAGTGTCCATGCTCTCAGCATTTTTCACTAAATCAGTTTTATAAAGCTGCTGCAGCCTCAGATTGTGCCATGGGAGGTCTAGGTTGGATATTAGGAAAAATTTATTCACTGGAAGGGCTGTCCAGCCCTGCCACAAGCTGCTCAGGGCAGTGGTGGAGTCCTAGTCCCTGGAGGGGTTCAAAAAACATGTTGATGTGGCACTTGGGGACATGGTTTATTGGTGGCCTTGGCACTGCTGTGGGGATGGTTGGACTCGATTATCTTGGAGGGTTTTTATAACCTCAATGATTTTATGATTCAATGACCTGCAGCTTGGGAAGCTGCTGCTGGCACCCCTGGGAACCCCAGCGAGATCAGTGTGCTCACAGCACCCCAACACCCTTCACCTCCAGCTGACAAGTGCCACAGGATGGGTCACACAGCATCATGGAATCACAAGATGGTTTGGGTTGGAAGGGAGCTTTAAGACCATCTCATTCCAACACCCTGCCATGGGCAGGGACACCTTCTACTAAACCAGGTTACTCAGGCTGTCCCTTCCTACCCCATCTTGCTGATAGCCATCTGAATTCTGCAGGGATTTTGGCTGCAGATACAGGGTCTGAGAATCTACTTATAATCTGTATTTCCTACAGATTCATTTCCTGGAATCTTTGCTCCAAAGAAATGACAAGAAGAGCTGAAGATGGATCTTGGATATTTATGTATTTTTCCAGCAGCATAGCAACATCCTCAGGCTTACATTGGGAACACTGGGAGATTTTCCTCTTCCTTGACTCAAAAACGAACAGTTTGTACAGGACAACCCTGTGCTTGTTTGGGCTGGGGTAGAGTTAATTTTCTCCAGAGTAGCTGGGACAGGGCTGTTTGGATTTGTGCTGCAAACAGCTGATAACCCAGGGATGTTGTGGTCACTGCTGAGCAGGGCTTACACAGCCTCAAGGCCTTGGCTGCTCCTCCCCCCGCACTGCCAGCGAGGGGGCTGGGGGTGCACAAGGAGCTGGGGGGGGACACAGCCAGGACAGCTGATCCCAACTGAGCACAGGGGTATCCCAGCCCATTTGGCATCATGCTCAGCAAACAAAGCTGGGGGGAAGAAGAAGGAAGGGGTGGACATTGAGGGTGACAGTGTTTGACCTCCCAGGTAACTGTTCCGTGTGGTGGAGCCCGGCTGTCCTGGGGATGGTGTTCACCTGCCTGCCCAGGGGAAAGGGCAATGAATTCCTTGTTCTGCATTGCTTGTGTGGCTTTTGCATTCCCTATTAAACTGCCTTTATCTCAATTCACAAGTTTTCTCCCTTTTGCCCTTAATGATTCTCTCTCCCTCCCTCTGGGGAGGAGTGAACAGCTTGGGGCTGAGTTCTCAACTGAGGCTTAGCCACAACATCCTGGTATATACAGGGAGGATCTTCCTGTGTCAGCTCAGCAAACAGCCCTGTTCTCCATGGGCAGCACACGGGACAAGGCAGTTGATGTAATATAACATCAGAAATAAGTGTGGGGAGGTTTATTAGTGATGAAGTTTATCTCCTGCTCCTTTTTATTTCCTGCTTGCTGCTCTTTGAAGTGCAATGCCTCCTTGCATTTTACCCTAGGGCTATGGACAGAGCTATCAAAGATACCCAGCAGGAGATCCCAGGGCTTGGATGGTTATTTTTATTAGCCTACAGGTACTGGACTCTCAGTAAAAAAGAAATAGGTATTGCAGAACATCACCTGATGTCAGCCTGAGAATCAGTGCTGACACTGTAACTTCCACTACATCTCACCTATGCAAGATGCCTCTTCTCTGCAGGTCCCAAAAATAAACTGGTGGCAGAGCTGTGACTACCAGCAACTGCCCCTTGTACATCACATGGGTATTTTAACCTATATATCTTTTGTACTTGAACCTTTAAGTAGTAATTTGCACCAGTTGAAATGTTACTCAGCATATGTGCCCTGTTGAGGTACCCAGCATTCCCTCAGCAAGCAACACCATGAGGTAAACACATTTAGACTCTGTTAGCTTAAAATCCAGCCCCTGCCACAATTGTCTCCTGGGCCAACTGGGTCAGAACAGGTCTGTACTGGGGCAGGATCTCATTGCTACATTAACAGAATACAGCTCTGTTCATTTACCTGTTTTAGGACAAGCTGCTGTGAGTGAAGACAGTCAGACACACACACATTGGCCTTTTTCCTTGAAAGGCTTTGCCAGATAATCTACTGGGAAGCCAACACCCCACAAGAGAAGGAAGGAACTGATTTACCCAGCAGCTGCCCTGCTGTAAGACTGGTTCGAAGGTGAGGCAGCAGGAACCCATCACAGAGGTGTGGAGGGAGTGGGAGAGGCCTGTGGGGATGGCTGGGCTGTGATGCCCAGTGTCATTGTTGCACCTTTGAGCCCTGGGTGTCAGCAGTGGAGTGGGTTTGTCTCTGTCAAGAAGTTTCTGCTAATTATCACCTCACCCCAGCACTTCTGCCATGGTTTCACCCCATGCTTTAATCAGCTCTTGCTGCAGGTGGAAGGGACAGGTAGAGCCTCTCCCTCCCCACCTCCTGCCATGCTGCCACTCCTAGTCTTGTGATGGCAGCAGCATTTGCCTCACTCTGCTTAACTCCAAGTCAACAAGCAAGAAAGTCACCTGTCCTTCTTCCCAGCAAGTGCAGATCAACAACAGAGGACCTGTATAAAGCTTTCTTGTCCTTTAGTAGGAATCTTACTGCCTGCTAAAACCAGAGGCTCAGGAGGGGTTCATCCCCAATACAAAGGGATCATTGGGATTTGGGGATCATTTTTAGCACTTCTAAACCACAGAGACTTGATATAAAGGTAGTGGTGCCAGTAGTGCTGCTCCAGGCCCCAGGTGGCTTTCCCGGATTACAGCAGCCTGATGCCTTTTTTGGCTGTTTTGAATAACTTAAATGTCAAGAGCATGCAGGTGCCTGAGGAGCTGTGCCACTCTCCTGGCCCTGGCTGTGCCCCCCTGGGCAATGCTGGTGGCTCCAGGAGCTGTGGTGGGACTCCATCTCCCAGCCAGTCCCAGCTGCAGGAATCCACCTGCCCTGGGAGCCACAATATGAGAAGGACCTGAAGGTATCAGAAAAAAAGGAGGATGGTGAAGGGTCTAGGGAGGAAGGTGTATGAGGAGCAGCTGAGGTCACTTGGCTTGTTCAGCTGAAGAAGAGGAGACTGAGGTCAGACTTCATCGGGGTTTGCAGCTTCCTCAGGAGGGGCAGTGGAGGGGCAGCTCTGACCTCTGCTCCCTGTGACCAGGGACAGGACCCAAAGGAATGGCTGGAGCTGTGTCAGGGGAGGGTTAAGTTTGATATCAGGAAAAGACTCTTCCCCCAGAGGGTGGTTGGCACTGAACAGGCTCCCCAGGGCAGTGGGCACAACACCAAGGCTGCCAGAGCTCCAGGAGTGTTTGAACAACACTCTCAGGCACAGGGTGGGATTGTTGGGGTGTCCTGGGCAGGGCCAGGAGTTGGACTTGATGATCCTTGTGCATTCCTTCCAACACATGATATTCCATGATTCTAGAGAAGCAGCTGTCTGAAAACGAGCTCTTTTTGTCCCAGTGCTGTTCCCCGCGGTCTCACAGCATTGCAGCTCGTGATTTTGCTGAATTAACTACTTTCTGAGTGCCTGATACCCCCTGTCAGCCCTGCTGAGCCCGCTCAGCCCTGGAAGAGCCAGCTGGGCTCTGTCTTGGCTTGTACCTCAGAAGCAGAACTGTTCACGGTGTTCTGACAGCGAACTCCCACATATTTGCAAGAATGGGGCAAGATGGGGCCAGCCTTGTAATGTTTTGTAGGGTTTTTTTTAAAGTCCTGTCTTCATGTGTAGCCTCTAATTTTGAACTTTTTCTCTTTAGAAGAGTCTGTGATCACGTGGCTGCAGACAATCACAGGCATCTCAGCCTGAAGATTCAGCCCTCCAAGGCAAAGAACCACTTCTTTCCTGCTTTATAAACTTTTGTTAATTTTCATTGTGCTGTGCAAGGTGGAGGACTGGATCCCTGCTGCTCGGCTGCCTGGAACAGGCATCGCCGAGTGCCAGCTATGGGCACTTTTGGGGAACTGCAGCGCTGCGCAGCAGTAGCTGTATTCCCGTCGGGATCCCAGCGGCACCAACCGGGCAGCTCCCACAGCCGCAGGACAGGGCAGATTCCTCCATCACAAAAACCTCTTCGCCGATGCAAACCAAGGGCGGCATCAGCAGTTTGCAGTGTTGGTGGCCTGGCTGTCGGTCCTTGCTCCGGGGATCCCTCGGGGACCGGGCTCACACACGGCCCCGCTTCCCCTCCGGCTGCGGGCGCTGCGCGGCACCCGGGGGGCTCCATCCCTGCAGCCACGGCGACTCTGTGCCCCCTGCTCCACCTCAACCCCACCGCCCAGGCCGGGGGGGATAAGCCCCGCTCACAGCCTGGCCGCGGGAGGTGCGGGTACCGGGGGGGGATAAGCCCCGCTCACAGCCTGGCCGCGGGAGGTGCGGGTACCGGGGGGGATAAGCCCCGCTCACGGCCTGGCCGCGGGAGATGCGGGTACCGGGGGGGATAAGCCCCGCTCACGGCCTGGCCGCGGGAGATGCGGGTACCGGGGGGGATAAGCCCCGCTCACAGCCTGGCCGCGGGAGATGCGGGTACCGGGGGCTGCCGGACCGGCCCGCGCAGCCCGAGCCCCGCAGAGGCGCTGCCGAGCGGGAAGCGCCGGAGGCAGCGGAGGGTAAAGCGGCTTCCCCGGGTCCGGCGGGGGGATCTCCGGCACTGGTTCGCCCGTGCCGGGCAGGCACAGCGACCCCCGAGGCCGGGATGTCCCGGGATCCTCCGAGCTCTTCCCCGGAGCCGCTCCCGCCCTTGGCCGCGCCGGGCCTCGCTCCGCCCTCCCCGCAGGTCCTGGCAGGGCCGTGGGGAGGCAGCGCGGGCGGAGCGGCGGGAACGGCCGGGCCCGGCTGGCACGATGCTGCCCGCGGGCCGCGGCGGGCGGTGAGCGGGGACCGGGGGGGATCGGGGACACCGGGCCGGGCCCGGGGCCGGGAGCGGGCCGGGCCCCGCTGAGCGCGCTGGGCCTCGCAGGGCGGCGGCGGCGCTGAGGGCGGCGCTGGGCGCGGGCGAGGAGCGGCAGCGGGAGCTGGAGCGGCGGGCGGAGCGGGGCCGGGCACTGCTGCGGCCCTGGTGAGTGCGGGGCCGGGCACTGCTGCGGCCCTGGTGAGTGCGGGGCCGGGGTGAGTGCGGGGCCGGGGTGAGTGCGGGGCCGGGGTGAGTGCGGGGCCGGGCACTGCTGCGGCCCTGGTGAGTGCGGGGCACACCCCGCTGCCCCCGGCCCCGGTCCCCGCGGGCCGGGCGGGGAGGGCCTGGTCCCGGTGCAGCATCGCCGGCCCCGGCGCTGTTTGTTCCCCCAGGGCCGCTGAGGAGGAGGAGGAGCAGCCGCAGGCACAGCCCGGCTCCGGCGCTGGACACGGTGAGCGCTTCCCCCGGCCCGGGGCCTCTCAGGTCGCACCGGGGCTGAGCCAGGTTCGGTGTTAGGAACTGTTCCCCTTCTCTACAGCGACTTAACCCCCCCGCCCCTCCCCTCTTTCTTCCCTCCCACTTGGAGTTAGTTTGGAGTCGTGCCTCGGTAACCCAGGCCCGTGACGATGTGTCTGTGGGCCTGACCCAGATGTGGAGTTGTCACTTGCTGAGGTTGATTCTGCAGAACTCTCTTCTGTGGCTCACACCCATCCTGTCTTCGAGGCTTGCTGCAGCCTGCCTGCCTCCTGTGTGCAGTGGCTGCTTCCACAGCCCCCAAAAAATACCCCCTGCACCATTCATCGTGTCTGCTTCCCTTCTGTAGCACATGGCAAAGCAGATTAGTGAAGAGACAAACGGGCAAGATCCAGGGTTGGACCTTCTGACGTGTCGTCTCCTCTTGCAGAGAACAGGCCTTCACCCAAGGAGCTGGAGGAGCTGGAACTGCTGAACAGGGCCTTGGAGAAGGCACTGAAAGTCAGGAAAAGCATCTTGAAAATTCCATTAGAGGCCCCGGGAGCTACAGGAAAGAAACTGGCAGGAGATGGACCTGCTGGCAAGAGGGCTGAAGAGCAGCAGGTGCTTGTACCTGTTGAGGATGTTCCTGAGAGCACAAAGGTGGGAACTGGAAGCAAAAAGCCTGGCTCTTCAAAGAAGCCCTCTGCATACCATCTAAAAGCCCCTTATAGGACTGACCCCGATGTGAAGAAGCCACAAAGGAAAGCCCCAGCCAGATGTGTTTCTCAAGGTCCCAGGACATCTGGGAAGAGCTCCTCAAAAGGGAGTGCCACAGAGGTCTGTGCTCCAGCTGAACCCCAAAAGACACTTGGCTTGTCCCAATCTGCCCCAAATGAGAAGCAGTGTTTTTCTGTGGGGGATTCAGCTGGGGGAAAGAACTCAGTACCTGCTGGCCAGGAGTTATTTAATGCAGGGAAGAAAAGTTGTGGTTTCCTGGGAGAGTCCAGCAAAAAGGAGGACGCTGCAGGTGCATCAGGAAGGAGCCCTTCATCTGGGACAGGCACCCTGCAGGAAAAGGGGTGAGTGTGGGAGGTGGGCACCTCTCTTGGTGTTCTACCTGACACTCAGAGGCACATCTCCAAACCCTGCTGGCTACTGCTGCTCTGGGCCCCAGCCTGCCTTCACCCTCCTCCCAGCCCTCTCAAGAGGAAGTATCCTGTGCAGTTTAAAAGGCTTTCTTGTGGTTGAATAAGTGGTTTGAATTTAAAGGGCTTCTTCTTGGATGGCTGGGACTTTGAAAGCCTTTCAATTAAGACTTTTGGTATTTCACAGCCCCCTGTGACTGTTATGGAAAGCTGTCTCTGTAGAGCTTTCTTGAGCCTTAGTTTTCCTCTGAGTGCATTTTCTATGATAGCATATTGATTTTTTTATTTGTTCTCTTGTTACACGGTGATAATACATAATGCATGAATTTTCACTCTCTCTAAAGCAGGTGCCCAGTGCTGTTTGCAGTGATGGCATCTGAGTTTAATACTATCCCTGTTAACCTGTAAGACACTGCCCATGTAACTACACGAAGCAGGATGGACTAGAATGCAGTTGTTTCAAGTGTTTGGTGTAGGAGGGATTATGAACTGGATGTTACTGAGATTCTCTGTGGAAAAGTGGGAAAATAATACTTGGGATGTTGGCTTTGCATTCAGGCCAGTCTGTCTTGTTTAAAGAATTTCTTTTCTGTGTACTCTTCGCTTTAAAGAAACAGTGAAGGTCTGCTCTGATGTCCTAAGAATATTTTGAGGAATATTTCTCAGCTACCACAACCCAAACTGTTGTGTTTGTTCAGGAGGGAAATTATCCCTGTTCACTGGCATTGGAAGGGGCACAGGACACCGAGTGACAATTGCTGGGGGAACAGGGGTCTGGATTCAAATGTTTATTTACTGAAAATCTCAACTGTGGCCTTCGGTTCCTAGTCTGCATGTGACTAACAACTGCCAACCCACCTGTTTTTGTAGTAACAATTTGGAGATTATTTTACTTCAGGGTTAAGAACCATATTCCAGTGGAAGCTGGAATGTCCCTCTCCCATTTCTTTGAGTGTGATGTGTTGCTAAGCAAAGCTGCTTTGTCCTGCTCAGGTGTGGCAGCAGGGTTGGGCAGACCAGCTTCCCTGAACAAGTTGTTTCCAGGCCTGTTCTCTGCCGTGCCAGGGCTTTGCTCCCAGCTTCCCACCTTGGATGAGCCTCTGGCAGCTGGTGGCAGGCTGCAGGAGCTGCCCCAGGTCAGCTCAGTGATGTCTGTGGAAATTAAAGAGGAGCCTGAGCCTCTTTCCTCGAGGACAAGCTGGAGGCAGTGGTGGATTCAGTCTCCAGGGTTGCTGACATCTCCCATTGCAGCTGAATTAATTCCAGATTTTGACAAAATATCATTTTCCCTGTTGGAAGACAAGGCTCAGCTGCTCCCTGGCAGCCAGGATTGATCCTTCTCCTGTTTTGCAGATGCCAGCTGAAGCTCCCCCTTCCCTACAGGAAAGCCTATGCCAGGAACTCCAGGTAAGCCCAGCCTGACTAGTCCAGTCCCTTTGCTTAAGGGCTGTGAGGAGGGGCCAGGTGGGGGGACGTGGCTGGCTGTGGTTCCTGGGGGGGCTGTGACCCCACCCCATGGCTTGTGGGGCTGAACTGGGAGCAGGAGGAGTGCTCTGCAAGGCTCTTGCTGAGGATGTGTGTGCTCATGTTATTCTAGCCACTAGAATTCATTTTCAGAGTGCTAATTACTGTTGATCACTGAGTCATGAAGGCACTGGAATGCTTTAATTGTGGGTTTAACAGTGCAGCAGAAGCCTCTGCTGGTCCCAGCCACCTGTTGAAGGCAGGAAGCCCTGTGGGGTGGATGCCTTTGTACCCTGTCCACTGCAAATTCCCCAAACCAGCCGTGCCCTACCCTGCTGGGGCACCTCTGGAAGCAGCACAGCTGTGTGTGTTTGAGGCTGTTCCTGCTGTTCAGGTCTTACACAGAGCCAGCTCCAGAGTTCCTGAGCGAGGGTGCAGGTGGTTAGGTTTCTGGTGAGCTCAGTGCTCTGGTCCATTCTCAGTCTTCTGGAAGGGTTTGCCACATTTACGCTGAGAAATCTTGCCGTAATTCAGCAGATTTCTCATGATGTGCTTAATTCAGATGTTAAGCTTAAACCCTGTCTTAACTAACTATAGCCCTCAAGAATTCCTCCTCCTCTTGGGAACTGTCATTTATCAGCCACCAGTTTGTTAGTTGCCCTTCAGCAAGTTGTAAAGACTTTATTCCCTTAATTTTCATTTGTAAATTGAGCCTTTCAGCATTCTAATCTCTCTGGTGTAATTTTATACTTTTCACTATTGCTTTCAACTCAGTGACAGATTGAGAATAACCTTTGCACTGAAGAACCCTTGTAGAGGGAATGCATCTTGCCTTGGAACTTCTGTTCTTTCCTGTTCCATTAATCTTGCCACTTCTTTGCGTAATGTATTTCTGAAATCTGCAGTTCCTAACATGATTTAGAAGACACATGCACATGAGTTAGATAGTCAGGCACTGCAGAACTATTTTAAGCCTCCTCCTGATGGCTCTCACTGCAGCAGATTTTGGGAGATTGGCTTTTTAAACCAGTCCTTAAGTAAAGGATATTATGGGGACTGTGTATCCATGGGGATGTTGAACTCTGTAAGTGAAATGCATCTCTCTGCTAGTGCTGCTATTTGTGTAATGCTTTATTTAAAAAACTACACTCTGGTGTGAACTCCTGGCCAGCTTCCTCACGATACTGTCCTCAAACCTCTGTCTTGCATCCCTGATGTTGACACACTGCTGGCACGCTGCTTGCCAAACATATAACTTTGTCCCCCCAAAAAAGGATTAAAGGAGAATCTTGAGGAAGTTTGGCATATGAAGGAATTGGGGTGAGAGCTTGTCCTATCTGCCCCTCTTTCTGTGCGCCTTTACTAACAGAATAAATGGGCAGAAATGCAGATGAATTACTCCTAAGAAAGGAAGGGAAGATTTGGTGTTTGCTATGGGATATATAAACATAGGCAGGGCAATAGAACAGAATTGGGGAGGTGCTGCAAGTTCCCATTCTGCTTTGGAAACATGCTGTCTGTCTTCTGATGGCTGTAAATCCTTCCCTTTAGAACAAGGGGAGAGAGGAACAGGTGTTTTGCAGTGTCTAATGCTTTCTGCAGGGTGTCCTTGCTGATCTAATACCAGCTGTGGGAATGAGTTGGGAATGGTTAGTAAATAACCTGTGAGAGAGGGAGAGTGGGGGAGACTTGTAATTAAAGCACTAATGTGTCACAGTGGTGTGTCACAGCTCAGTGTGAGCACTCTCTGGTACAAAGGAGTGTGACTTCCACCTCCTGCCCCTTTGGAATTTTCAGGGCATGGGAGAAATGTCATCTGTGCCGAACAAGTGCAGATGCAGCAGCTGCAAGGGCCCGTTTTATGGAGAGGATCCAGACAACTGTATCCTTTCCCAGCAGGCTCCGGGTACAGTTGCTCCACAGTGAGCTCCCAGCTGGAGAGAGTAATGCCACCAACATCAGCACTTCAGGCTGGGTCTCTGGGAAGTGGGGTTTTTCACAGTACAGCTCTTGAGCACTTACAGAAGTTTTGATCCAGCCAAGCATGGCCACAGGGCAAACATGCCCTACACAGCTGTGCTGTGCTGTCCTCACCTTCCCCCTGCAGTGCCACTCCCTGGGCTGTTCCCTCTGTCCCTGGTCCCAGCCTGCCTGGCCAGGGATACTGCACAGAGCTGGTGCTGTGGAACTTTCCTTAAGCTGCTGCTGTTTGAGTTTTGCTCACCAAAGGCAGACTTCAGTCCTGCAGAGATAGAGGAGGAACTGAGGGTCCTCCAGGATGTGCCCTCCCGTCTGAGGCAGTATGTGGAAGCTGAGACTGCAGGTAAGGAGGAAAAAAGGAGGGGAAGAAGGTGGAATAAGGATGGTCTGGACTCCAGTTCCATCTGTTTTGTGTCCTTTTCCTGGATTTGAGGGACAGGAGCACTGCCTGCCTAAAATGAGGGCTGGTGTCTGGGGAAGAAGGTTCCAGTATGCTCACGCCTGCTGGGTTTCCTCTGCTTCTCTTGTAGATCCTCCCACTCTGCAAGGGGAGTATGAAAGCCTTCTGACCTTGGAGGGTTTGCAAACCACAGTTGCTCAGTGCCTGCAGAAGCTGCAGCTTCTTCGAGCAGGTGAGTCAGTGCCTGCATTTGTGGTCTGGTGTGAGTGTGCTGGAACAGCTGCTGTTTTCCATCTGTGCGGGACACTGTGGACAAGGTAATTTTTCTCCTGGTTATCCGTAATGGTAGTGGAGCACATGAAATTGTCTGGTGGCAAACAAAGCCTGGAACCTGTGTGCCACCCCTCTGCTCAGGAGAGGCTTGGAGCTTTTAACTTCTGGGGTTCAGGAGGGCTGGGGACACTGGATGCCATAGCTTAGGATGTCCTGATTGTGCCATGTGTGAGGAGCTTACCCTGATTAATACGCTGCCATTAGTCATTCATTTCTGGGAACAGTAAGTAGATCATAAATTCTGCAAGGACAGATTTAACTTGTGTGGTTTTGTCTCCTGCCTGCTCTTGCCCCTTGGCAGCTCTGGAGTCCCAGCTGAGGCTGCGCCCAGACTGCACTGGGGATGTGGGAAGCTGCTCCCCAAGCTGTGTCCCTGCCAGGGGACAGATGTGTGACACTGCAGGAGTGCTGGCTCTGCCTCTCCTGTGTTACTCCAGCTTCCAGGAGCTGAGGGACCTGTTTGCCTTGAAGCTGCAAGTGTCAATGCTGCACCAAGAGATTGCCTTACAAAAGGTGAGTCTGTGGAAGTGTTAATGCTCCTGGAGCAGGGAAAGGAAAGGGCAGTTGTGGGGCACCAACTGCTGGATGGGGTGTGGATGGGGAGCAGCAGCACAGCAAGCTCCCCCAGTTGTCCTTTATGCCTCTTGTCCAAGTCCCATCAGTGCCTTGCTGTCTTTGTAGGTGAATGGAACTGACTTTTTTCTGTTAGGGCCAGAGCAGAGGCCTTTGTGTCTGACCCTCTCTTGATAAGGTTTTATTTAGCTGTTCTGAAAGGATTTGGCAGTGGAGGATGTTGGTAATGCCTGAAGGTGCCTTTTGTCAGCCCCTCACAGTCCCACGAGGGCACCCATTGTGTCTTTCTCTCCTATGTGACCTCCAGCCAGTGAACTCCTCTGCTCTCTTCCTTTCCTTTTAAACCTCAGACCAATGTGCTGCTAATCTTGATTTGACCATTCTGAGCCTGTGAGAACAGGGTAGGAGGTGTCAGCTTCTCCAGCAGCCCCAGCAGAGAGCTTGCTGCACAGAGATCACTTGTTCTTCTCAACCAGCAGCAAAGGGCAGAGAAGATCTGTGAAATCACATCCACTGTTGACCTGAATGATTAAGGCTTTGGAAAAGTCAGTTTTTCTAAGCCACAGAGGAGTTATTAATAACTGGCTGCACTGCTCCCTCTGGCTGAAGATAGATTGCCTCCTGTCCTCAAATGGGACTTCAGCATTATAATCCTGAATTATGGATTGTGAAGGTTTTGGGGTTTTTTTTCCCCTGCCCAAAACGAAGTGGTGACCAAAGCCAGATTCCTGCTGCTCTGTTGACTGACTCAGTTTCCTCTGCACATGTATCCAGATAGGTGTTTTGTGCCAGGTGAGCTCTGAGGTCTGAAGCAGCTCTACAGGGTGAAGATAAGTGAAATTATTGAAACAGGTGAAATGAGTGGATGTGGTACAAGATAAATACCCTGGGAAAGGATGTACCTATTTCTAGGCCAAGGCTATCCATTGCCTTTCCATGGAGGAATGCCAAGTATCACAGAAACTCCTGGTAGCTCTTAGACTCTCTTTGATGGTGAAGGTCTACTTCTTCTTTTCCTGCACATCAGGAGCAGAGCAGATGGATGGCAAAGAGAAGGATCTCTCTTGGGAAGTGGAGCAGGGCAGCATTCCTTCATGTGCAGCTTTCCCCTTAGGTAGCTTTCGTGTCTGTAGAAAGAGACTTCCCAGAGATGAGCAGCTGTGTCTGCTTCCCTGTCCCTGTGCAGAGACATGTGCAGAAGTATGAAAATCCCAGGGGGGATATCTGCCTGAGCATTCATTCAAGAGTGGGGCACCAAAGGCCAGCTTCTGTCCTCTGATTGGAAGTGACCTGTGCTTGAGTTGTGTGTCACAGTCCTGATCCCAGAGCTGATGATGTTGCCCCAGGGTGGTGTTGGACCCGAGCTGAGATGGGCTGAGATCCTGAGCTAGGCTTAGTGGACCAAAGGCCAGGTCAGGGAATGTTGGCAGCTCTAGCAACGTCTGTAGCCCATTTGGACTGGAGTTGGCCATTTACCCATCTGTCTTGGATTATCTGGGAGGTGACAGGAACAGTTACTGTTGGGTGAGTGAGCGCTTCACTGTGTGGCTGCAGAGCTCCTGAGCCAACACCAGCTTTAACTTCTTGCAGGATATGATCTCATCCCAGTCCTGAGCCTTCCCTGTGGCAGAGGAGCAGCATTTCCACTTATCTCACTGCTCTGGGAACACTGGGTGGCTGCTGGTGTAGCTCACGAGCAGAGGATGAACAACTCTGCCTTTGTTAAATGTGACAAAAGAAAGTGTCTGTCAATCAACGAGCGTGCTATTAGTCATACTGCTCTGATTAGATTTCACTTGTTATGCAGCCACTTCACTTCAAGGAGTCCTGGAAGTGTGTGCTGGCTCTGGTGACGTGTCTCCTGTGTCTCCTCTGTCCTGCCCAGGTGCTGATGGCAGAGCTCCTGCCTGTCCTGGAGCCCAGCCCGTGCCCTGCCCGCCTGTTCCGGGCCATCCACACCCAGCTCTGCCAGGGGGGCAGGAGCTTCCCTGTGCTGGTCAGGGATGAGCTGGGGGACTGAGCAGGGGAGCCTCCTGCTAATGCTGCACACAGACAGAGACAGTTCTGAGCAATAAATCTTCTTCCATGAACTTTTATACTCTGCCTGTTTGTTCAGCTAAACTTCAGTGGGTTGTTTTTGTTATGGGGGTTTTTTTATTCATTTGGGTTGGTTTCTTTTCCTCTTCTTTTTTATGAGGAGGGCTGGAGCCCCTGTAGTCTTGAAGCCAGGCTGGTAAAGCTGGGGATGTCCACCTGGAGAAGAGAAGGCTCCAGGGAGACCCGAGAGCCCTTGCCAGGGCCTAAAGGGGCTCCAGGAGAGCTGGAGAGGGACTGGGGACAAGGGATGGAGGGACAGGACAAGGGGCAGTGGCTTCCCACTGCCAGAGGGCAGGGTTAGATGGGATATTGGGAAGAAATTCTCCCGTGAGGGTGGGCAGGCCCTGGCACAGGTTGCCCAGAGAAGCTGTGGCTGCCCCTGGATCCCTGGAAGTGTCCAAGGCCAGGTTGGACGGGGCTTGGAGCACCCTGGGCTAGTGGGAGGTGTCCCTGCCCATGGAAGGAGGGTTAGAACTGGGTGATGTTTAAGGTCCAACCCAAACTATTCCTTGATTCTATCATTCCATATCTCTTTCCTGACTTGCTAACTGAGGTTTTGTGAGCCCCTTCAGAGATGCTGGTTTTGACTTACCTTCCAAACTCTGTCTCTGCCCAACTGTGGATTCTTGACTGCCTCAGTCAGAACACCAGGCTCCTTTCTGCAGGCAGTGTAGCAGGCAATAAAATGCGATTTCTCCTGCTCAGATAGCCACAGCATCATGGGCCACAGCCTTCTAGCATCCAAAAATCCAGAGAACCTGAGCTGCTGCTTCCTTGTTACTCTGTTCACCAGCTGGCCTATAACCAGCATTATAGTGCTCACTATTTAATTAATATTCACTGGCTAATTGTTTTCCATGTCTTCATGCACAGCAGCCCAGGCCATACACAGAAGTGTCTTCTGTGGAGCTACTCTGGCTCATGGGTGCCTGCTCTGAGCTGGGTTGGTACCAGGGCTGGGGTGCAGCTGGAGCTGTCCCATCTCCCCAGCCTGTCTGTCACCTCACTGCCCAGGTCACTGCAATGGAAGGAAGAGATTGAGCCATCAGAGCGTCCAGAGGAGGGCAATGAAGATGGGGAAGGGCCTTGATTTGAAGGCGTGTGAGGACACTGAGGGCACTTGGTGTGTTCAGCTGGAGGAGACTGAGGGGAGACCTCCCTGCAGTTCCAACTGCCTGGGCAGGGGCAGAGGAGGGGCAGGACTGAGCTCTGCTCTGGGGGGAGCAGGGACAGCCCCCAGGGAACGGCTGGAGCTGTGTCAGGGCAGGCTCAGGGTGGATCTCAGGGAAAGG